GAGGCTGAGGAAGGAGCTTAGGCTTCCACCCGCTCTTGGTGGTTCCAGGGTGCCTCCCACCAGCAGTAAAGCATTGCTACCCCCTTCCCCTACTGATCCATGTGTATTAGGAACCTGCAAAAATGGACAATTTTCACTGGATCCAGAGTCTGATAACACAATACCCAAAATGACCCGGTTACAATCGAAGATCGCTCATGCTCCCTAGAAGAGAGAGGCATTAGCGTGCACGTATTTAGCTTGTTGACAAACATAGGGTAAGGGAAGGAAACTTAAAAAACGAGTGAATAATCTTTTTACATTGAGAGGATTATTCATTTGTATGGTTTTAAAAAAAATTCAATTGAAAGACCAATTAGGAAAGCAACTTAATTAGTTTGGTATTTTAAGAGAGAGGGAAAAAAATAAATTTTAATTGGATAATATAAAACGCAGTTCAATTAGTAAAACAATTAGCTTTGTAAAATAATATCTAACTGTTAGGACCTAGTTATTTGGTAGTTTTATCTAAATCAGTGGTTGTGTGCGATTAGAATCACTTGGGGAGCTTTTTAAAAGTACAGATGCCCAGCCAGATCCCAGACCAAATAAATCAGAGCGTCCCCAGTGATTCTGTGACGCAGCCAGAGTTGATAGCCATTGACGAAGTCAACCGTAGGTGATAAGTAGGACATAAATGGGGGGTACTTTATATCTTCTGAATCGTCCAAATAGAGATGGCGAGGTTTATACACTAAATTTTGCACGCTCCTTCTAAAGGAGCGCCCTATTGGGCCGTTTGTCTTGCTTCATGCATCCTTGCGATGAATCTGATGATCTATCCCCCAAGCCCACAACAGTAAATACGAAGGTGTAATTAAAAGGGAGTTGGCCTCTTACAGGCAGACATATTGATAGTTGCAATATATGAAAGCGTAAAGTGCGGGGCGACTCAGAGGAGACTTCGCTCGGTGCCACTGGATGGCTTGGTATTAAAACTCGTTGAAGTGATTTCTTGAGCTATTTCCTTAGAGCCGTATTTCTGGAATTAAAGTTCAACTTTGCGTGAAATCCCTGAACTCCAGGTTGCAAGAAGACAAACCCATGAAATCAAACCGCCAGGTATTTTTGGAGAGAGACCTCCAATAGGCCTGCCTGTCTGGAATGTTTTTTTGTTTGTTTGTTTTTTGGTTTTTTAGGGTTGTTTTTTTTTAAAAAAAGAAAACAATTCACCATTGGGCTGATACCCATGAACTGGTAGGTTCTAACCACCTTTCTCGTAAGGAATTTGACAAATTTAATCTAAAGTAGAAGAAAACAAATGAAAGGACAAATCAGGTACTTGCAACAAAGGGCAAAAAAAATTTCAATTGGAAGACCAATTGGGAAAGCAACTTAATTAGGTTGATATTTTAAGAGAGAAAAGGAAATTTAAAATGGATTAATATAAAACACTCGCATGCCACAAATCAGGTACTTGCAACAAAGGGCAAAAAAATTTTCAGTTGGAAGACCAATTGGGAAAGCAACTTAATTAGGTTAGTATTTTAAAAGAGAGAGAAAAGGAAATTTAAAATGGATTAATATAAAACGCAATTCGATTAGTAAAACAATTAGCTTTGTAAAATAATATCTTGACTATTAGGACCCAGCATTTGAATTAAGAAGGAGGCCGTGGCAGGCCTCGCTTCCTCTCCAAAGGAGCTTATATGTGATTTTGTAAAGTGCGACGTTCATTTGTGATGAGAACGTTATCTAGGTTGTAAATTTCCTGCTTGGTGGTGCCCTAAATCCCTGTCGGGGTGTGGAATATTCAGAAAAAGTGGAAGTTCAGTGTGGAGATGTTATTTGTTCGGTGCAGTTAAGATGGCTTAGCTTTGGAAACTTGTTAAAGAGTTTTACCACGTTGCTTTCATGCAGCTGTTAAAATCTAGAGTTGAAAGCCCTTGTCAATCAAAGATGTAAACTTAGCCCTTTAGTCCGTTGATTACAATTACTTTCATTGACCTGAATAATATCAATCAATAGTACTAGTCCCCTAACTAGGTGCTTGTGTATAATAAAGTCAATATCCTGGCTTTCAGACAATTTTTTGGTGACTGCTCATGGCCCATATTTTGTGTAACAGGTTTTATTTCACTGTTAGTCTGTCGTGTGGTTTTTGCCTTGGATTTTACTTTATTATTCTCATCCCAACTTTCTTTCTGGTACATCTTTGTCCTTTCTTTTTTTATCTGCTGTCTTTTTGTTTTAGATGCATCTTTAACAGCGTATAGTTAAATTTTGCTTTTGACCTAATCTGTGAACCCTCTTTATCCAATCAAGCAATTGTATCCCTTTCGCACTTCTTACAGAAACTGATGATTTTTTTCTTCAATTTAATAATGTTATGTAAATGCTTTTTAATTATTCCTTGCGATTTCCTTTCTTTTTTCGAGTTGCAATGTTGATCAAGTTTTTTTAAATATGCTTTTATTGATTTGAGAGAGATAGAAACATCAATGAGAGAGAAACATTGATTGGCTGCCTCCTGCACGCCCCCTACTGAGGATAGAGCCTGCAACCTTAGCATGTGCCCTGAATGGGAGTTGAACCAGTGACCTCTTGATGCATGGTCCACACTCAACCACTGAGCCACACAGGCCGGGCAGTCACATTTTATTTATTTCCTTTTTACTAAATATTATAAACTTATACATTCTTTTTAATTCTAATAATGGTTGCTATTAAATGTTTAAACTGATCTCTCTCAATCAATACCAAGAATAAATCAGATTTACTTACATCCTCCTATGAATAGTGACAAAATTAATGTTTTTTTCCTCTCTTCTTCCTATACCTTCCTACATTTTCAGACAGAAGGAGCACCTTTTTTAAAAAGTATTTAAACCTGAATGTTATTTTCCTGTGTAGATAACTTATTTTCTATGCCTAGATACTTGAAGATTTCTTTCCCTGTATTCTAGAAACTCGAAACTTTCTCTGGGCTACATCTCCATGTGAATCTCTGTTAATTAAATTGGGCTGGTACCTGTGGCTCCTATCTAAAGACTCAAATCTTTGACATTGAGAAATTTCATTCAACTCTTCTTTGATTTTCTGCAGTATCTATTCTGTCCCTTACTGCTTCCATTGTATTGTCAATTTGTCATGTTTATGTTTCAGAATTACTTCACCTCCTAATATTGGTCTGTTTCACCCTTGTTTCATAGATGAGAATGCAAAGTCGGGATTTTCTTTTCTGGTTCTCTCTGCTTTCTTGCACTTACTCCATGGCAAAGGAGGGCCTCTGCTCCGAATCCTAGAGTAGCCTCTTGCTTCCGAACGGCCCAGTTGTGTTCACTGATGGGTCCTCCTGACTGAGGAAGCTCTGAGAATTGAGGTCAAAGTTATCCTCAGAGAATCCCAAATCTTCAAGGCCAAAGAGGAAGTAGTCTTGGATTTATCATAGCATCAAGAGCCCACAGATTGTGAGAAATAAGGCGACTAATAGGTAAAAGCCTTGATAAGGAGTTTCACTTCTGTTCAGAGAAATATTTGCGTGTTGTGGCTGCTCAGAGATAACTGAGGAAGTGACCCCTTCCCTAACCAGTGTATTTCCACACAATACCTCCCCTTCCCATGGTGCAAGCATGAAGTTTTCAGATATTGCTATCACATCCTCTTTTTGATTTGAGTATAAAAACTCGTAAAGCAGAGGGGTTTTGCTTATTTATCTTTTTACACCCTGAGTTGCTGCTTTTTGATCCTCACCACACTTTTCTAAGGTAGACCAGGCATCTGGTGTGATCTTTATTTTGCAGAAAAGGAGAGAGGTGCCCAGGAAGTTAAATGACTCATTCAGGATCACCTGGCTGAATTGGGGTTAACATCCAGGTTATCCCCGGCTGGTGTGGCTCAGTGGTTGAGCACTGACCTATGAACCAAGAGGTCAGGGTTCGATTCCCAGTCAGGGACCATGCCCAGGTGGCAGGCTCGATCCCCAGTGAGGGGTGTGCAGGAGGCAGCCAATCAATGATTCTCATCTTTGATGTTTCTGTGTCTCTCTCCCTCTCCCTTCCTCTCTCCAAAACCAATAAAAACATTGTTTTTTAATCCAGGTCATCCCTTACTCCACTACTTTTCCCCACTTTCCATCCTGTCTCCCAGAACAAAAGGAGACATTGTAGATGCTGTTTGTCCTGCCTTGGCGATGGCAGGGGCTTCATCTTTATTTGTGTAACAGGAGATATGAGGTGCTGTTTTTTCCTCTGGCCTGAGCCAGCACATGAAGAATTCCCATGGACAGCAGTATAAAGCCACCCAGACAGGCTGGCATAGGGAAGTCCACACTCCGAGGTGGGAGGGTGGCTGGGATAAGAGTCAGCAGCTCCTCCCCGCTGGCCCAGGCAGCACCTCGGCGGGGACCCTCTCTCTGGATGCCCTTGGCGTTCACTGCTGACTGTCCTTGAACCCCTGCAGCTGATGCTCCTGGGACATGCTGGCAGGGCTACTGCTGTTAGAATTCTCATTTTATTAAACTTTAATCAAGCTCTCTAGCGAAGTGCCACATAAATTCAATTTTGAATTTTGTATATGAGATAATCAAATGAGAGTGAAGCACCACCGACATAAAATGTTTTTTAAAATGAAAATTATACTTTTAATTTAATCACCTAAAAATCAGCTGGATGGGATACATCTAAGTGGCAGAAAGATTGATTTATTCTCTTGCCAGTGGCCTCAAAAAGCCCAGGATCTACATAGATTTGTGCACTGACTTCTAACTCCTTGGATATTTTCTCTTCTTTCCATTAAGCACTAACCCTGGCATTCTTTAAAAACAATTAAAAAGCTCACCTCCTATGAAAATGTATTCACTTGGTGTTTAGGAATACTTATACAGCTTATCAGCTAACCTCATTGCGCCTCAGTTTCCTTATCTGTAAAGTGTGGGCTTGGAACCCAGTGGCCTTCCAAATGTGTGAACTGTTAACATTGTTTGATATTCGTCTTTTCCACTGGGTTATGAATCCCCCTAGATCAGGGGCTATACCTTCAGCCTCTTAAGGTACCCCCGCCTCCCCCGTCCCCGGCAGCCTGGCCCTCTGCATTGCCCCCAGCGGGTACCCTGACAGTGCTGATTGCCAAACAAAGCTGACAGCACCTGTGGCGGCCAGGAGGTGGCACTTTGGTATTTTCTGCAATTGAAGAACAAACCACAGAATGAGAAATCACTCTGGTTTTTGCTTTGCTGACCAAAATAGAATATCTAGGAGTCAAACAATCAGGGATCTATGTTTTTTATACTTACACGTAATAAATAAGGTTGGCTTTTGGTAGTGGTGACGGTATACAGATTTATGGGTCTTGACACATGCATAGATTTGTGTAACAGCCACCACAGTCAGGATGCAGAGTCATCCATCACCCCCAAAACCCGTGTATCTGACTCCCCCGATCCCACACCGTGACAACTACTGATCTGTTTTCCATCCTTAGAGTTCTGTCTTCCAGACACCATCACTTAAGCGGAGTCCTGCAGTAACCTTGTGAGACTGACTGCTTGGCTCAGCAAAATGCCTTTGAAACATATCCATGTTATTGATATCAATCATGTATATCATTAGTTCATTCCTTGTTACTGCTGAATAGCATTCCAATGCATAGACTTCTGCGCATGGGCCACGAAGTTTCAATCGCACGTGGTATTTTGTGGAAGAGCCACACTCAAGGGGCCAAAGAGCCGCATGTGGCTCTCGAGCCAGTTTGCCGACCACTGGTCTAAGTCTTCTTCTAATCCAGTTTGCTGCGAGATTTTTATCACGAATGGATGTTGACTTATAACGTGCTTTTTATGCATCCATTGATAGGATCATGTGGCTTTCTTTTTTATCCCGTTGCTATGGTGGATTACATTGAATGATTTTTAAATACTGCACTAGCTTTGCATTTCTTAGATCAACACCACATGGTCAGGGGTTATTGTTTCTGTGCATTATTGGATTCGATTTGCTAATATTTTATTGGTCATTCTTACCTCCATGTTCATGAAGGATATCGGATACTGGTTTGTGGTTTTCTTGTTACCGCCTTTGTCTGTTTTTGGAACCAGGACAGTGCAGGCCTCATAGATGAATTAGGAAGCGTTCCCTCCCCTCCTGTTTTTAAAAAGAGATATGGAGAATCGGTGTTATTTCTTCTTTAAACATTTGGTTGAATTCACCAGTGGGAACATCTGAACCTGGAATTTTCTTTTTCAAAAGATCTTTAACTATAAATTTAACTCCTTTAATAGATATAGCAGTATTCAGGTTATCTACTTCTTTTGGGGTGAGTCTTGGTAGTTTGTGGCTTTCAAAGAATTACTTGGTTTAGGTGGTCTGTAGTGATATTCATCTCCTCTTTCATTCCTCATATTGGTAATTAGATTTTCTCCCTTTTATTCTTTCAGACTAGAGGTTTAGCAATTTTATTGATCTTTTGAAAGGATCAGCTCTTTGTTTCATTGATTTTTTTCGATTGTTTTTCTGTTTTCAATTTTATTAACTTTCATTCTTTATTATTGCCTTCCATCTGCTTGTTCCATGAAACTTGACAAAAATTAAAGTCATCCGGGATGCTGACCAAAAAATGTATTATTAAATTACAAGATGTATTTTTAAATGTGTTCCTTTGAGAACCAACCTAATCGTTTTCCATATTTGTCTCTTCGCAGTTGACGGGCCTGAGCGTCTCCAATGGAAAGGACCAGCTTGTGGTGTTCCATACGAAAGACAACAAGGACCTCATCGTCTGCCTCTTCAGCAAACAGCCGACCCACGAGAACCGAATCGGAGAACTTGTTGGAGTCCTGGTGAATCATTTCAAGAGGTAACGTTTGATTTTTGTAACTACGACAAGTTTCAAATATGTGAACTCTTTAGTCATGATTCTCACTGAACTCGTGTGCCAATTTTAGTGTATTGAGCTCTTTTCCTTCATAAAGACCACTTAAATCACCTGTTTCCAGGAAGGCAAAATGAGCATCCAAGCTTAGTTTCAAGACTAGGAATGACCTTTACTTTTCCATCCTCCGGCTCTACCAACAACGAGAGGTTTCCCTAATGGTGATTTCATCACTGCCAATCCAAATGTAATTAAATCAAAAAAGATAGAAAAATGACTTTTTGTCACAGCTTCTCGCTTACCCCAAATACGATCAGCAGGTGTGTCTACTGTGAATATAAGCCAAGTAGAAGGTAGGTTTAGAGCAGGGGTGGGCAAACTTTTTGACTCGAGGGCCACAATGGGTTCTTAAACTGGACCGGAGGGCCGGAACAAAAGCATGGATGGAGTGTTTGTGTGAACTAATATAAATTCCAAGTAAACATCATTACATAAAAGGGTACGGTCTTTTTTTTTTTTTTTTAGTTTTATTCATTTCAAACGGGCGGATCCGGCCCACGGGCCGTAGTTTGCCCACGGCTGGTTTAGAGGGACATATAGGTCCATGACAACTGAAGGAATCCCTGAGAGAGGCAGTAACCTTGACAGAAACATGGCGTTGTGATGGGACATGGCATCTTCTGAGAACTTCGCAGTAAAACGTCGATGTATCTGGGGTGTGTGTGTGTGTGTGTGTTGTGTGTTGTGTGTTGTTACAATGACGTGAGAAATATAAACAGGGAGCCGATCCTGAGGGTGATGGGGACCAGTGAAGTGGTAATTTTAATCAGGGAGTGGTGTTGTCTGGTTCTTTATTGGAGTTGTGTTAGATGTGTTTTTCTTCCCAGAGGAGGCCATGGGGTATTTAGGGCGGGTGCTTCGCTAACTCCAAAGTCAGGTGTTCTTCCCACGGTGGCAGACTGTCTCTACCTCCCCACCACACTGATGCTGGGAGGCCGTTCCTCAAAGCTCGGCGACTGAGACATGAGCCCAATGTCCCGTTCCTTTTCCTCCTAAAAGACGTTTCCTGAGTTGCCAGAAGGAACCGAGTATTCCTTATGAGGATTGTTCATTCTTACATTTAGACATGACTTCTTTGTCTAAACAAAGGCATATTTACAATCCGATGTCCACACGTCTAATTCTGCTGTATTAACTTTCATTGGTAAATGTATGGAGTATAATTTTAGAAGTGGGCTGCAAAGACCATTTCTTTTATGTTATTAAACCTTGTATTCTAGATCAAAGTAGATCTTTAAGTATCTTATACAGTTAAATGCTTCTTAATGCTATGACTAAAATAACATTCAATGATTATCTGGGGGAAAAATAAGAATCTAAATAAGGAAATATCAAAAAATAATAATAAACATATGGACCTTTGAAAAACTCCCTTTCATCTACCAAATAGTCATAAAGCTAAGGGGAATACTGAAGAGTTTAGGATGGAGAAGGCATCTCTACAATAAAATTTATAACTCAAATAAGCAGGCTCATTTTCCTCCTAATATTTAGTTATGACAAAAGATGGACAATTAAAGGGATTTTAATTTGGATGCCTGTACTAATAAGTAGTTTTTCCTGGGGAATTGAAGTATTTTTGCTCAATCTGGATCTTGTTTAGCAAATTCCAACCCCTGGTACATGCCTCTACATGTTACATGTGAATCTGGTCCTTGAATCCATCATTGCTTCCTTTCCCCAGCATATGCATTCTCAAATGTACCTCTAGTTGCATTCCCTCAAATCTTTAATACAGGGGGGGCAAAAGCAGGTTTACAGTTGTTCATTTAGAAAATAATACAATAATAATAAATAAATAATGCAAGAATAAACTCTGTACTCATTACTGTTAACCTACTTTTGCCCCACCCTTTATATGTAAGATTTTTGAGTGTCTTTAAAAGTTATAAATGGAAGAAAGAAAAGGTTGTTGAGTTGTTTGATTTTTTTTTTATATAGTTTTGTGCACGGGTAGGTTCCCTAGGCCTGGCTGGCGATTAAGGCCGATCAGGTTTCCCACCTCCCTGCCTCTTCCTTCCCTCGCTCCCTCAGGCCCCGCCACGGCCACTGGTTGCCTGCCATGTTCCGCGCCACCCCCTGGTGGTCATAGTGAGTGATGAAACTCCCGAGGGGACACTTTGCATATTAGCCTTTTATATAAATAAATTTTTGACCTATGAATTAAGAGGTCAAATACCAATAAGAGATCAAAACCCTCCTTCCTGCCCCCAGAAAATTCAGGCTTGGCATTTTGACTGAGGGTTAGAGTCATCAACTTGCTATTGACTTCTTCTTGAGGAAAGGTTAATTTGATTTTTTTTCTACTTTTCTTTATTGTCAACTATCATGTCATTGGTTTGACTTCGAGAAACAGATTGTGTTTTACAAGCATAAGGAGGTGGCACAGAATCATATTTATCTGTGGGTTAATTATGGAAATCCAAAGGAGAGATGTATTTAATTTCAGATCAATCCTTTATCTTTCAGATAATTTCCTTAAAGTACATTCCGAGAACTTCTCTAGTTAGAAGTTATGAGGAAAGGGCTCAAAATAAAACATGCTATTGATAGACTAGATGTGAAAGGAGTCATTGTCTTGAAAAATTATAAAGGACAAGGATTAGGACATAAAGTCTATGAGTGAAATTTCTGCCAAGTTTCAGAGAGAAGAGGAGAAGTAAAAAGTTTGCAAACGAGTTTAGACCAGCACAACACTATATCTAAAACAGGTAAAGATAATACAAGAAAAGAAAATTGTAGTCCAATCTCATGTCAGTGCAGAGATTTTTTTTTTATCCTAAATAAAATGCCCAAAAATTGGATCTAAGAGTTTTTTTAAAGGAAAATGTATCACGACCAGTGAGGCTGTATTCTAAGAATATAAGGGTGGCTATCCATTAGAAAGGTGTATTAATCTATTCATATATAATAGTTCTCAAAAAAACCCAAAAATACTATTTGATAAAATTTAATACTCCTTATAAGTAAGGATATGTTAATGAAGTTAAATAGGTTTCTTTACTGCAGTAATTCTCAGAGCCTTTGATATGCCTCTGTTTGTTTTAAATATAACAATAAGGGTATGTACTTGTGTGTGTATGTATACACACACACGTACCCATACACACACACACACACACACACACATATATAGAGTGAGTATATATAGTGCCAAAAATATATATATATACACTTTAACAACTGATTCTATTACATTTTGAAAATGAAATGTATTTTAATAAACACTGCCTTTATAATTATTAGAAGTGTGTATACATATTTTGGAACACACATATGATTGTGTATATTATACACTATTTCTGGAAAAATATGCATGAAATGGGTAACAGTGTTTGTCTCTGGAGAGGAATTGGGGAGATGGGGTGCTGGGACAAAGAGGTAGGAGGGAGATTTATTTATTTTTTCACTGAAGTGTTTTGCAGTAAATATATGTTACTTATCGAAATTTTTTTTCATTTTAACAATAAACAAATGGCAGCTAGTTTTGCGGCCTATTATTGATGGCTTTAAAGTCATGGTTATTTTCCTTTCCCGTTTAGAAAAGCAGCAGAGAACAAAAGCGCTTTCTAACTGAATGATCCGTCGCATGGCATTCGAATACCTTGATATAAAGCCAAGTAAAGCCTCCTGGAATATCACTGTTCTGTATGGTCCCATTGTACACGGCACGCGGAGCCGAGCGGGTTTCCTTCCCGGGGTGGTCGGGCCAGCGGTCTGCCGGGCCAGTGTGCTCTGCAGAGGTTCTGAAATGGCTGACTTGACTTTTGTATCGCCTCCCAGCAGTGACTACCTGCTGGTAATGAGCTTTCCTGCCCATTAGCAACCAGATGGGCTGACACTGGCTGCCCTAACGAGGGAGTCACCAGAAACTGCGATATTCGGCTGTCAAAGGACCCATCTGCCTTCTGCAGCTGCCCAGGCATTTGCCTGTCTGGATGCTGGAAACCTCAGCTTAGCCCCAGTCTCGGGCATTGGAACTTATTTTTCCTGTTCTGTGTCTGTGGAGGAAAGCCAGAAGTCAGTGCCATCTGCTTCTTGTTTTTCGTAGGCAGTTTCCTGAATATCTGCTTAGTGAAAGGAGCCCCGTTACTGAGTTTAACTGAACACTTGACCTGTTTCTCTGTTATATTTTGCTAATGTTCTTTTTAACTCACGGGTAGACACAGATCAATAAGCCGGGCCATTGGTTGCAGCCGGGAGAATACAGAGGTCAGGGGAAAAGAGGTTTCCTGGCCAGCGGTGGAGGAAGCAGAGGAGGGAGGCACCTCCCAAAGGCCTCTGCTCCTGCCTCCCTCCCCCGTCCCCCTCCTCAGCACCGCTGCTCTCTCCCCCTTCCTGCCGCTGCCATGTGGGTCTCCGCTCCTCTGTCCCTGACCCTGAATGCAGGTTTCCGCAGCCCTCGATCTGTAGTCCCAAACTGCTCTCCTTAAATACCTGACTACTAATCATAGTTTAAATTCCAGCTGAAAATATAGAAGTAAAATAAGGATAGGCTAAAAATAATGTAGGCAGCCAACGGTAGAGGTTTGGTTCATTAAATTATGGTCCATCTCCTTAATGGGGTATTTGAACCATTTAAAATTATTTTTTTCTTTTGTAAAAAAAAATATATTTTTATTGATTTCAGAGAGGAAGGGAGAGATAAGAAACATCAATGATAAGAAAGAATCATTGATCAGCTGTGCCTCCTGCACACCCCTCATTGGGGATCAAGGCCACAACCCAGGCATGTGCCCTGATCAGGAATCAAACCATGATCTTCTGGTTCATAGATCAATGCTCAACCACTGAGCCACACCGGCTGGGCTAAAATTGTAATTATTGAAGGCATCTGATTTATGGTGACAGCAATTCACCCTCCTCTGCCTCCCAGTAGAGGTACACATGAAAACACAGAAAGAGGTGCCAACTTTTCATAGAAA